GATCCTCGGCCACAACTCAGAGAACACTTTCTCCTGGTTTATTTGCACTCCTTCACGTTGCGAATATTGATGAAATATAGAAGTCCGAGAGCAAACAGTAGCTATTTGCCGTCACTGAGTTGGATAATCAGTCATATGGAATCCTTCAGCATCCGCATAACATAAATGGCTCCTTAGTTAAGCTTAAGGAATCTGAAAATGAGTTCCCAACCTGTTCCACACTTCCCTTTTGTCCAACGCACCCAAAGAATAATTTCACCACAAGTCCAAATCAAACCAAATTTCACCCAGGAAAGGGCTAAAGGCTAATGATCAAGGTTGATATAAGAATAACAATGAGAGAAAGAAAAAGAAAAAAGAAAAAAGAAAAAGAAGATTACATCATTTTCCATTCTCTAGTTACCTAAAACCTAAGCAAAAGATACCCCACTAGCCCCATTTCTCCCTAAGCAAAAGCTCAAACAAAAGAAGAAACATGACCGATTTTCCTTGGAGAGGCAGCACCAGCTTCCTCCTCATCTGAAGTGGCTGGGGAATCAGTAGCTTCGGCAAGAGACTCGAGCATTGCTACAACTTCGGACGAATCATCCAGATAGTACTTAGCTTTGCTCGGTTTTTGCCCCACCGTGCACCCAAATACTTCAGTGTTGTACGAAAGGATGTGCCTAGACACTGCACTACCAATCAGCTCAAACATATCCTCATCCGATCGATCATCACCTATGCAGAGAACAAAATCAGCCTGTTTTCCCTTCTCTGTCATTGATGTAAAAACCTTTTCTGCAACTATGCCTTTGCTAACACCCTGCATTATTTTTTTTATCCATGTATAAGGTTTTTTTTTCTATTGAAAATGAAATACAGAAGAAAACAAAGTAACTCTGAAGCACAAAAAGTTAATAGCACCACATACCTGAGGCTTGACCTCTACAATAAACTGCCCACTCTTTACAGCAACAGGCTCATTTGCTAAAACACTCTCCAAATGATCCAACATTTCCTTTGCCTGAGAAAAACCGAACCCTGGGTCCGCATCGTTATAATGCCAGACTAAGGAACTTTCCTTCCTCTCAATTCCTGAACCATCAGTAGCCTCAGTGTATGATTTCATGACAGGTTCTGCCATTTGCATCCAACCAAATTCGGAACTCTGCCCATATGTTTCCCATTCTTCATGCTGTGGCCACCTGCAAATTACAAACAACGCAATAAAATGTCATCTGCACAGATGGAGATAGGGAGGGAGTGTAAATTACAAACAATGCAATAAAATGTCATCTGCACAGATGGAGAGAGGGAGGGAGTAAGAAATACTACTGAACCATACAAAAACAACAATCATTCATTTTAAAAATATTAATCATAATTTTGCTTGATGATCCAATAAACTTCAGGAAACTTATGATACCAACCGCCAGGAGTATCTCTGTATCGGGCATATGCCTCACCATAAAAATCCTTAGTCTAAAATAAAATAAATCAGGGAACTGAAGACCCAAAAAAGGTAATCTAAAAAACTAAAGAAAGAAACTAAATTTTAAGTTCCAGTTACCCACTTCAATCCACGATCAGCCAAAAAAGACAATAAAACGTGAATTTTGACCTCGTTCCATTTGTTTATCTTTCTCAGTGTTGTTAAATAGCAGCCATCGCAGCTTCAAATTTTGCTAAAATCAGCCTCGATATCTGTTACAGATCTAAATCTGTAAGAAATCCTAATTTCTGCAGGAAAGAGAAAGGAGAAGAGCCATCTTCTGGCGACCCACCATCCGGCAATCCTTGTTTTTATTTTTCTTTCTATCATTTTTTACTTTTCCCTATTCGTTTTCTTTTTCCACCCTTTCTCTCTTTTTTTTCTCAGTTCATTTTGCTCTTTCTACTTATGTCTATTGACTCCCTTCACCTTTTCACCCTTTTATTTATTTTTTACACACGAATTAATTATCAATAAGATTCTTTGCTAAAAAGAGACCAAAAAGGGTACCAAGGGACCATAGAAACGACAGAACCCACTATTTCTTTATTCATTTAAGTTTTATTTTTATTTTTATTTCTGACAACTAGCAAAAGAATTTTTTTTAATTTTTTTGTATTTCACTGTAAAATACATAATAAAAAGAAAAAAAATGTGGTGAGGAGGGTTATTGTAGCTAAAGACATTGAAAGTATTTTATACATTGGGAAAAAATCATTTGGTTATTCATAGACCAGGGCAAGGAAAAGGATAACTTAATTAAAACAGATCAATTAATTATTCGTCAAAATTTTCAATGCCCAGAATTAAACATATATAAAAAATAAACTTAATTTCTCTTCGGTTTTTTTCATGTCTTTATTTGTTTGTTTTAATTTTCAGCTCCTGTTAAAAAAGCTTTTTCATATTTTCAGGCTCTTTATTTATTTGCTTTCTTTGATTTTCAACTCTTAAATATGCAACTAATGTTATTTTTATGTACTTATTGACATGTTTTAAGCTGTGATTATGGTGTTACAATGTGTGCAGAAGTTTTAGGGTGGATAAATATATAAAACATAAAATTTTAAGCTGCCACGCCATCCACCATATATATAAAATTTACCTCATAAACAATTAATTCCCATTTTTATGACTAGTAACTTGCACAGAACATCCAAAGCAGATGAATTTCTAGGGGATGTTTACTATGGTTAATGGCTCAAGCTGTTTAAAGACTTCATCAAGTCTTTATGGTGATTTTCATGTCATAGTGACAAAAATCAGTAGAAAACAGTTCATAGAAAAAAATCTAAAGAGAACGAGACTGAAACAAAGGAAACATGTGCGTTTGGACTACATGAAATTTCCGATTTTAACCAGCTGCTTGTTTATTAGCTACAATATTCCCAAAAGTTGTAAAATGAAAAATAGATACCTTTCAAGTTGTAGTTGCTCTCTAAGGGAAAACAAAATTACTGAGTTGCATACCTTATGAAGTAACCATGTTCAGCAGCAAGTCCCAGCTTCTTACAAGGATGAAACCACCTGTTTAAGCAATCCCTCCCCCTTCCACTCACCATAAAAACTATATTCTTCGGATCCCCGCATAGACTGTTCAAGAGAGAAAGAACTTGGGGGCTTGGGGTCTTAACAATTTGATTTTGAGGCATCAAGGTGCCATCGTAATCCAATAGTATAGCCCTGCTCTTGGACCTACAGTAAGCAGAAACAATATCATCTATGGAGAGCTTTCTAAAATTAGGATCAAGTGCCACCACTCGAAACCCAAAGCCCAGACCAATGCCCCAACATCTTTTCCTAAAATGATCAGCACAAGTTCTCTCCATATCCTGCAGGAAGCTTCTAGACCAAAAGGCTACATCATGCGTGCTCACATAACGGTAGTGCTTCTCATGCCGCAGCTCCTTCTCTGACTCGGCCATCGATATCGACTCATTCATGGCCTCAGCAGTTGATTCCACATTCCAAGGGTTAACCCGAATTGCACCACTCAGGGAAGGAGAGCACCCGATGAATTCAGACACAACTAGCATGCTCTTCTTGGGGCCAACCAAATCTGACCCTGTCTCCACACCAGATACGCCTTGTCTGCATATGATGTATTCATAAGGAGTCAGGTTCATCCCATCCCTCACTGCGGTCACCACAACACATTCAGCAATCGTGTAATAAGCCATTCGCTCACTGATTGATATAGGACGATGGATAAATACTATAGGTTCATACCCAGGTCGCCCAAGTTCCTTATTTATTTTCTTGCATGTCTCCTCTATTTCAGCCTCTATTGCCTCCAATTCTATCCCTTTACCTCTAGCAGGATTAGCAATTTGCACCAGCACAGCCCTTCCCTGCCAATTCGGATGCTGCCTGAGCATGTTCTCAAAAGCCAAGAGTTTCAAGTTTATGCCTTTGAATATGTCCATATCATCAACTCCAAGCAACACCGTTTTACCTTCAAACTGCCTCTTCAGCTCCTCGACCTTCAGCTCTTTATCTGCTTGCCTGATCACAGACTCAATATGGCCTATATGTATCCCAACAGGCATAATCTTTATCCCCACTGTCCTTCCATAATATTCCAGCCCAATGTATCCCCTCTTCGACTGATACTCCAAGCCCAACATCCGACTGCAGCAGGAAAGGAAGTGTCGTGCATAATCAAAGGTGTGGAAACCAATGAGGTCAGAGTTCAGCAAGGCTTTGAGAATTTCTTCTCTGACAGGAAGTGATCTGTAAATCTCAGAAGAAGGGAATGGGCTGTGGAGGAAAAACCCCATTCTCAGGCGAACAAAACGCCTCCTCAGAAATGTGGGCAAAACCATCAGATGATAGTCATGAATCCAAACGAAATCTTCCTCCGGGTTTAGCACCTCAATTACTTTCTGCGAGAACATCTTATTGGCAGACACATAGGCTTCCCACATGGACCTATCAAATCTACCTCCATGATCACCAGAAAATGGCAACATGTAATGAAAAAGTGGCCACAGCTGCTTCTTGCAAAAGCCATGATAATATTTTGCTAAAAGATTCGGCGGCAAGAAGGCAGGGACACATTTAAATTTCTCCAGTAGATAACTGGCCACATCATCCTGTTCAATAGGATCAACATCAACAGGTAATGATCCAACATAAAGAAGTTCCATGTCCTCCGGCAAGCCATCCTTAACACGTAGGAGCAACGAATCTTCATTCCAACTAAAACTCCAACCTTTATTGTCCGGCCTTCGTTTTGCCTTCAGAGGCAGAAGGTTTGCAACAATGATCATTCGATCACCAGCTACTGAAGATGGGTTCTCGGACGTAACACTATTCGCTTGCTCATCATCAAGCTCAACAATATTACCTGGGACCGTCATTACCCTAGGGAAACGCTTGCGCTCCTTCTCCCGACCCATCACTGGAAAATTCCCAGATGCTAAATCTAAAAGATTTGTATAAGATCTTGACATCATCTTTGCAGATTTAGACTTCTATCTCTCCGCAAAAGATTAAGCACCCCCTTATAACAAATTGGACAAGCCCAAATCCAGTATTTTATCAATACTCACTTTTGAATTACCTGCTGATGAAAAAAAAAAAAAAAACTTTA